AAAATTTTTTTAAAAAAAAAAAAAACCCCCTGGGGCCCCCCCCCCCCCCCCAAAAAAAAGAGAACAAGCTGCTGCTTTACTTTCCCTTGTGAAAATCCTCCCTCATGTGCAAGACACAACACCCACCATTCAAACGCTATACCATGCCATTTCTGTTTGTCTATCTTTACTCATGCCTCACATAATAATATAGCACTTAGAACATTTGTCTTTAAACACTTATCCCAATTTTAAGATTCATAACTTTATTCTGTGTATACTGATGTCTGGGTAAACAGCTGGTAATTTATATCAACTAACAATTACATTTTCAAATTTCACATCTAATTCAGTTCTGCCAATGCCGATCAGTCCAAAACTCATGGGGAAAATCTAATAGAACAAGCAATCAATTACTTGAGCTAAATGCGACCAAAACTTTACAACTTCAAAAAGTTGTATTTATTACACATCGGTTTTATAAGTTTGAGTCCATTTGCGGTATGAGGCAAAACAAGAACATAAAATTACCTGAAAGATGCTTTGATTTTGGAGAGTTCCTTTGTAGATTTAGCTTGTTGTTGTGATCTTCAATGCAGTGCAAGCCTTGAACTGCCCTAAATGTGTTTTTGAGTAGATCTGTCGCTATTTAAAGGACTTGAGACCTCCCCTTCAGACGCGCACACACACTAGCGGAAGTTATGAAGTCACCAGTCTGCCTTTTCATCCCTCCTCTAGCCTTTTTCACACAGACAAACATAAACACTTTTTTCACCCAGTCTCTTTCCTTGTCTGTCTCGCCTTTTTTACAGGACCGTTAAACAGTCAACTTGTCAAGTCATAGCTACGTTTAGTCTAAGGCAGAAGTCATTGCCATTGCATATCAGTCTTTAAAGTTTCTTTGTTTAAAGAAACTCTCACATCTACTTTTAAATCAGTATATATCAGTATATTAATAAATGTCATTATTTAATTATCAGTTGTCGACTTCAACATCAATATATATATATATATATATATATATATATATATATATATACATATATATATAGCCTACACACAGACACTTTGTAATTCACTTCGTAATAATGAAACCGCAATGAATTACAAACAATCACTCAAGAACAAAACTTGTTTTAGCAAGCACACACTTAATCAATTTTAATAAGGCCACTGACAGGACTGGATGTTTTAACATCTATGTATGTGCCAAAAATAAAAGTTGACATAATTCATCCCCTTATCACTCTGTTCAGCAACCACAATAACTGTAAAAATAGGTTCTTCATCTGGAGTAATTAAGAATATTAGGCTGAAGCACTGACTCACCTTTGGGAAAGATGACACATCACATGACCATATTTGGCTCTACAAAAAACACATTCCTTCACACATGCTCACGAGGAAGGCCACATTCTCTGAGTATAAGGAATAGTTAGGCGTCTAGGGACAGAAGGACAGGAGACATGGAAAAACTACTGATGAAATAACTTTTAATTATTTGAAGTCATGTCTAATGATCCCTGGTTTGAGCTTTATCATCAAGGCCAGCGTCCTCAGAGAATATGACACAAACTGAACGTGCAAAGAAAGTCTGCAGAGAAGCAGTATATAAAACAGGGAAAACACACACAAGCTAGTTACTTCTTGTGAGGAATGTTAAAGTACTAACCAACTGTTTTACTGAAATACAATATCTTAGCAACTAACTGGAAAAGCTTTAAAGAACCAGACAATGAAGTGGCAAAATGAAAATTCACAGTTCATAAAGTTTTTATACTCTGAATACAAACATTATGCTTTAATTAAGTTCACAGATGTTTTTAAGTGTCTTTGTTTTCAAGCCTTGCATGCAAGTTTCAAACTGTTAAATACATTGTTAAATGTACTGTAATATATCCTCTCTCTTGACTTCTGTCATATATACACACTTACGGTGATGATACAAGGGGCAACTTTTTTGACCAATGTTGCTTGGGCACTTTCCCATTGAGAATGGGCAACACATTTCTATCTGGATACTTTAGATTGGTTGTGGGCCCTGTGTCTCACCTGGTTGCCCATTGATGGCAACACTGCCCAGCAACATTGTTCAAAAAGTTGCCACGTGTATATCATCACCTTTACACATAGGTGTCTTAAGAATTTACACTTCATTCCCACTAACATAATGGCCTCTAATATAAACAGCACTCAAAAGTAACCCCAACACTATTTCCCACTGGAATGAGCATGAGAATCCAGTTTTCAGAGTATCTAAGTTTCACTGTAACCACAGGCAACCAACCAAGAAATGTTTGGGAAAGGAACATACCAAAACCACATTTTGGAAGATTAATGCTTTTATGCAATATTAAAAAAACTCTTCCCACTCGAGAAGAAAAAATAGCTTGAGAGTAAAACTGTTTATGTTAATTAAACATAAAAACAAAATTCACCCACAGAATAATACATTATTTTAATATACAGAACATTTTATTCATTTTATGTTGTTGTTGTTGCTGCTGGGGTACCTTCATTAGCACATATACGTTTGTGTGAAAATCGAACATGGGTTTCACTATGTGGTGGTCTCCTGAATTTTTCAAAGAAATTGTCTCCATGTTACTCAATCAAGCTGTAATGAAATGTCCTGCATTTGGTTTCAACATCCACTATGACAAATCCATCACGAACATGTCTAAATTCCAAAAATCTTTTCTCTCTTTTCCTGAAAGCAAAATTCAACTGACCTGATGTGGGATGTGCTTGTTTTTTTTGTTGTTGTTGTTTTTTTAATATCACTAAAATACATTTTATAGCTTTGAAATAAACTAATTAATTCTATGTGTAGAAATTAGACATTTTAATGCATTTATTTTCCTTTAACGTCTAAGTCTAATTGGAGTAACAGTCTTAATGTTGTTTAAAAACGACTCACCATCATAATCCAGCAGTATCCAGTATCGTGTTGGTCGGGTAGAGATGTTCTCACTTGACCTTTTCATTCGACTCTATACTCTTAATTGCAGCATTGTTTTATTCTGTTGTCAGGGAGTTCAAACAAACAGTCAGAAAATATTGAAATATTTTGTTTGTGGTCATTATGACTAATAACTGATCAACAATAGCTAATGAGTGGGCGAAAGACACCAGATGTGGTTGAGGAGAACCTAATGGAACACAAATGTGGGAGCATCTTGCTGTTGAGAAAGTGAGATTTCTTAGAGATATTGAAAGTAAAACTTATGCATCTTTCCTCAGAAACATGAAAACAGTGTATCAGAGATGTTGAAGAGTATAATTCATTTATACAGATACAGGACCAAATATGAACCTAATGAATAAACTGAAAATGCAATACAAAATGGGAACCTACATCTACTCTCTACATCTGTAAGCAAGATTCTGCTGATGTATTTATATCTGTACTACATTCTGATTGATCAGAAATTTGCTTAACTTTTATGCAGTGTCCATGGAAAATGCCAACCATGCTGATTAAAGGGATGGTTCAACCAAAAATTCTGTCATTAATTACTCACCTTCATGTCATTTCAAACCCGTAAGACCTTCGTTCATCTTCGGAACACAAATTAAGGTATTTTTGATGGAATCTGAGAGCTGTCTGACCCTCCATAGACAGCAACGCAACTGAAATGTTCCCAAGTCCAGAAACGTAGCAAGGAGATCTGTAAAATAATCCATGTGACATCAGGGGTTCAACCGTAATTATACAAAGCTACGAGAATACTTTTTGTGTGCAAAAGAAAAAAAAAGACTTTATTCAACAATTTGTTTCCTCCGCATCACCCTGGTGCCATTTTGGAGAATATCCGCTGGACGTAAACAACGTATGCTGTTCTGTGTCAGCTGCGTCACACGGATATGCTGTTTTCATTAAATGCATTATTTGTTTTTTTCTTTTGTGCACAAAAAGTATTCTCGTAGCTTTGTATAATTGCGGATGAAGCCCTGATGTCACATGGATTATTTTACAGATCTCCTTGCTACGTTTCTGGACTTGGGAACATTTCAGTTGCGTTGCTGTCTATGGAGGGTCAGACAGCTCTCAGATTCCATCAAAAATATCTTAATTTGTGTTCCGAAGATGAACGAAGGTCTTACGGGTTTGAAATGTCACGAGGGTGAGTAATTAATGACAACATTTTAATTTTTGGGTGAACTAACCCTTTAAGGCTCTTCAAAGTTAAATGATTTATGTGGATTTAAGGAATCTATTCTAGACTAAAAATTGCTGAAGAGCCTGACATCCTGTAGTGAGACCCATACAGGCATGTGGGGGTCATACCCACTTCTGACTTACTTTATGAGTTGCTGATGAAATTAATTTAAGTTGGATCAGCTTGTAATTTCAAAGTTTTACTTTGATTTTCAGTGTGATTTTGAATCCAGCCCTCAGTGGGTTGATGATTTTGGCTTTTCATTGACCACTGTCACATCATATTATTCTCAACAAATTACACAATGTATATAAGTAAAGATTTTCAACCTGAATATTTTGTTCATCGAGATCCAATGTGTGATTTAAGTGTTTCCTTAATTTTTTTGCACGGTGTATATATATCATATTCTCAAAACAGTAGCCATATGGGTTTAAACATGAAAAAGTCTCATTCTTTAGAGTTCTCCTTTTTTGATCATAAGGAGATGAGTAAGAAGAAAAGGCTGAGGGAAACAGCAGGGAAAATTATGAGTGGGTGACAAAGAATGCTGTGTAAGTGGGACATGGGGTATTCCCTCACCCCTGACACTTGTGTGGATCACCAACCAAGGAAAGTGATGATTTGCAGCCTCAACTGATGATGAGTTTATATTCTGCAAAGAAAGCGAAAGTTAATTCAGCAAGAAAATGTTCAGAGAACAGTTTCAGTTTTCAGCAAGTACTAAATGCCCATGTAAAGCTTAAATTAGAAGTTGACATTTAGGTCATTATTCTTCATTAACATAATGAAATAGCCTTTAAACAACTCAAAAAGCTTATAGGCTGAAGTCATGTTGATGTTATATATTAATATGGAAACTAATGGTGACTACATTTGAACCACAAAGCTCTTGCCAAATAGATAAGGCACAGGATATGACCAATGAGGAGAGAGCATTGAATTAGACAAAAACATGTCCTGTGTCTCACCCTTGAGCTCCAAGTGTCACAACAAATTTATATAGCCAAGGCTACCAAAATAGCTTGTACTTAAAGAGTGAGCAAAGTGCTTTAGGGGGTAAACAGGAAAGTTGAACCATCCAATAGGACATGCCATGAACTCTTTAACATTTCCATGAAATTGTGTGTTTTTTTAAAGGGGTGATGGGTGCTGCTGATGGGAAGCGTGGAATTTTTTTGAAGGCCAAACAATGAGTACTGTGAAATAGATTTGCTTGATGTTTTTCAGTTGAGAATTGTTGAGCAGGCAATTTTAACTCAATGCCACAAATAAGACTTATATTTTATATGTTTTTTTAACTAATAGAGTGTAATTTGTTTAATTTTACAATTTTATTACATCTTTTATCTGTTTAAGATATCACTGTAACATTAAATATCAGGGCTTTCCTTTACGGGCCAACTAAAATACACTCTAAAAAATCCTGGGTTATTTTTTTAACCCAAATGCTGGGTTGAGCCTTTTGGGTCA